AAAAAAAAAAAAAAAAAAGCTCAGGAAGGACACTAAAAAAACGAAGCACTCATTAGAGAACAAAAAAGTTCCATCCTAGAAAGGAAATGTTTTATGTCTAGATAATGAACATCAACTACCAGAATTAACAACAAAAAATTAAACAGTACCCCAAATCATTTTAAAGCAGTTATTTTGATTTGGAATTTTATTATTTTTCTGAGCATATCTAAAAATCTGTCATTACAACATTAGATGCTTTTCACACACCTGGGATGCCAGTAACTAACACATTCTAAAAGACTGTACTATGTGCTTAGGAAAACACTGGAAGAGAAAATTTTCTGTCTTCCTTATAGGATCAGTCTTCATCAGACCAGCTGAAGGTACAGTAATTAACTCAGAGGAATTAGAGCTAAGCAAGCTGAACTTTATAAACCACTGATGTATCGACCCAAGAGAGAGCTCTGCAGTACAGCATCTATTTTAGCAGGCAGCAGGAGCAGCTATGTGAATCAGAGATACAAAATGGACATGTCCTAGAGTAGAGTCAAACTTAAGGACAACGACCTGAGCTTAAATAGTGGATCTTGCTCTTAACTGTGTAACTCAGAGGAAAGTAATCTAGGTCAGCTTTCCCACCTGCAAAATGAGAGCAATAGTATTTTAGTGTGATTGTAAAGAGTAAGTGAGATAGCATGTAACGTGTAAGGCACCTAGCATGAGTCCAGTGTCCTCCCCGTCTTGGTTTTAAATCCTGATAAAGAATGCTCAAATGCTATAGAATTTCTATGTTCAAAAAGAAAAAAAAACATATAGTAATAGATATTCTTGTTCCCTATAAGCATCTGTTGGGAGCAAGAAGAGTGGTAAGGCAGGAGAGAAGGGCCATAAAATCCCTTAGAGTCTAGGGAAAACTGCAACTACATCTATTAGCCTATCATGTAATTCAACTCAATTAAATGTCAGGGGATGCAACCTAAAAATTAGACATTTCTCAAGAGATTGAGACCACCCTGGCCAACATGGTGAAACCCCGTCCCTACTAAAAATACAAAAATTAGCTGGGTTTGGTGTTGTGCACCTGTAGTCCCAGCCACCCGAGAGGCTGAGGCAGGAGAATTGCTGGAACCCAGGAGGTGGAAGAGCCTAGATTGTGCCACTGCACTCCAGCCTGGCAACAAAGTGAGATTCTGTCTCAACCAAAAAACAAACAAAAAACCAGGTTCATACAGTGTTACAGGCAATGCTGAAATCTAAGAAGCTTTTCGAACCATAATAAACAATTGTTTTTACATAAATCAAGTGGCAAAATCAGTCCTGAACTTGAACTGCCTTAGAAGCTCTATGGTCTTTATTACTGCACTGAGCATAAACATTTGTGCATCTTAAGTTTCACTTTGTGGTGGTATCCAAAATCCCACTGGGGATGTGATATAACATATGATGTACTGCAGTAGCTTCTAGAAGTACAAATTATTCCAAATTCTAAGACATATATAGCCCAAAGGTTTCAGATAAGGGAATTTGTACAATCTCTATTTAAAGGAGGGGGAAAAATAGAAATATAAAGAGAGCTAACCTGCCTGAGGCAGAGACTTGCGGTTAACAATTATCTTTCTCAAGTCAGAATTTGCTTTCGAACCCTCAAATATTCTATTATACGGAAACAATAACACTACTTGTAATATAACATGAAGTTCTTGGAAAAAAAAAAAAGAGAGAAAGAGATAATATACATAAAATGCTTCAAACAATGCCCAGCACAAAGTAAGTGCCCAATAAATGCTGTGTAATAGTAACCGTTCCTAAAAAATACTTTGAACATAGTTCATTGTGTCATAAAAATGGTTAATTTTATGTGTCAATTACATCTGGCTAAGGGATGCCCAAATAGCTGGTAAAACATTTTTCTTAAGTGTGTCTATGAGGGTGTTTCCAGAATAGGTTAGAATTTGAATTGGACAACTCAGAAGACCACCTTCACTCAAGTGTGTGGGCATCATCCAATCCTCTGAGATCCTGAATAGAACAAAAAGGCAAAGGAAAGGCAGATTTTCTTCTAGAGCAGAGACACATTCTTGGGTCTTCTTGGGACTCAGACAGGGATTCATACCATTGAATCCCCTACTTCTCAGGCCTTTCCACTGGAAGTCTACCACTGGCTTTCCTGGGCCTCCAGCTTGCAGCTGGCAGATCGTGGAGCTTAGCCTCCATCATCACCTGAGCCCATCCCTCATAATTAATCTATGTATATATGTATATATCTTAGCTATAGCTCTGTATATCCTACTGATTCTGTTTCTCGAAATATCTTTGATTAATCACTAGGAAAATCACTAGAAAAATTAATAACTGATTAATCACTAGGAAAATCACTAGGTAAATATACAGCTCTCACAGTATGCTATGTGCTTTATTATATTTTATTTTTTGTTTTTAATCCAAGAGTTCTCTCTTTTCTATGACCACAGAGGCATTTCTACCATCAGAGATAGTCTTGAGTACAAGTCATAAATGGAATGGCTTATCTCAGGTGAGCAAACAAGCACTATAGCTGGGAGGGGATCGTAAGACTTAAAGCTTTAATGCAAAAAAGATATTTTTTAGAAATAAGAAACCTATAAGACTGAGGAGCAGCCTAGAGGAAGGCATCTGGAATTTAATGTACAAACTAATCAACCAGAGCTCCTGTTAAAATGCAGACTCTGATTGAATGAGGTGGGGCCTCAGATTCTACTTCTCAGGTAATCACAATGCTACTGGTCTAGAACATCCACTGAGATTAGGAAGGTCCCACAGTAGTGATCCTCTAAGTGTACCAGAAGCATGAGAATGTGCTGGGAAGTTATTAGATATACAAACCCTAAAGTATAAAGAAACTAACAAATTTGTTGACCTTAATCAGACATTTACACTAGGCAGTTCGGATTATCTTCCCTAAGAATAAAAGAAGAACTTGTTTTAAATCCCTTAAAAATAAAAGTAGCAGACCAGAACCTATTACATAAATAAAAGACATTTCTGAAAACAATTTCCAAAGTCATAGCCCCTACAATTACACTTGAAGTATAGGTTTTACGTTTTAAGAAGGCTCAGATATTATATAGGCCAAGTATTGCAATTAGACTTCTCAGTCAAACTCCTTACTAATTGCTGACAAAAAATCATTTCCATTTTTCCTAGGTTGTACATACAAAGAAGCTCTGTAAAGAAACCAAACTGAATTTTATATTTCCTTGTGTTGAGGACATGACCAACCACATGATGGTTTAGCTGACTTTTCCAGAGAAATGTTTACACATTGCTTGGTTCATATGTAAATATATGTCAACATTTTGATTTATAGCTATAAATGATCTGTTTACATACACATACACAGATGCATAAGTTACAGTACATTAATTGTTTGAAACAAAATATCCTTGAAGGACAAAGAACTTGAGGGTAAACCACAAATATATTTTCATAATCAGAGAAAAGATTTTCATTTTCTCAATGTGAAGTCCATTGATTGTTAAATATGGTTTCCCAAATTTTTTAAATAAACTGATGAACTCAGAATGCAGATTCAGTACTTTCTCCTATTTCAATAAAAGTTTGAATTTAGAAGTTCATCTCTCAATGAAAACCTGAGCACATAGTTCTAGCCATAATCTATTTTCAAATAAATCAGTTTCTAACATATTGTAAAGCATTACACATGTTTAAGGTTTGGAGCGAACACCTCTGATTTTGCTACGAGTACATATTTAAAAATAGCGGTTCTCTATTAGGGGAACTGTCTTTTTCCTAGGGAACGTTTGGCAATACCAGAAAACATCTTTGATTGTCAAAACCAGAGAGAGGGGAGTGAGGGATGGATACTTCTGAAAGCTTGTGTGCAGAGGCCGGGCATGCTGCTAAACAACTTGTAATCCACACAACAGTCCACACAGCTTAGACTTTTCCAGACTAAAATGCCAATAGAGTGCCAAGACTGAGAAAGCTGATTTAATTAATAGGTTACAAAAATATACAAAGACTGTCCCTAGCACATCGTAATTACATTCCTTGCATAGTGTTAAGCAAAATAACAAATACTTATTGCTTATTAAATAAACTACCTCTATTTAGCTGAGACCTTTGAATCAGAGAAGAAAAAGAACTAAAAAAGGGTTATCGCATGTGTGATATCTACAATTACAAAATTGTAGTCATTGTCCAAACCAAAAAGAAACTTAAAAAATCACCATGTCCAGCCTGATATATCTAGTTAGGAAAAACAGTGTTTCTCATATAGAAGATGCTATGTTATGTACCAACACAACACTGTTAAGGGGGAGAGGGCAGTCCCCTTAATAGTAAAAATGGGCTGGGAGCAGTGGCTGATGCCTGTAGTCCCAGCACTTTGGGAGGTTGAGGCAGGCAGACCATGTGGTCAGGAGTTTGGGCCTGGCCAACATGGTAAAACCCCACCTCTACTAAAGATACAAAAAATTAGCTGGGCATGGTGGCATGCACCTATGATCCTACCTACTCGGGGGGCTGATGCAGGAGAATTGCTTGAATCTGGGAAGTGGAGGCTGCAGTGAGCCAAGATCACGCCACTGTACTCCAGCCTGGGTGACAGAACAAGGGTCCATCAAAAAAAGTAAAAATGAAGTGAGACCTTTACCAAATTATATAAATCAGTTTTTGCTGTTTTCTTTCTAATAGTATCAATGCCCTATATTTTCCTCAGGTTAATAAAGTATCTCCTTTATAAAAATTAAAATCAATGTGACATCATAATAAGTGCTATTTCACAAGCAGGAAACAACATAAAATATAATTATTTTTTTAAAACACATGAAAGAACTTGGGGGCCTACAAGCTTTTCTGCTTTCAAGATTGCTGGGATTTAAACAGTCAAGAAATTCTGAATTGGCTTACATTTTTGAAACACAGGAACTGACAGTCATAAGGCCAAACATACCTTTAATAATCGATTCAACCGCATACAGATCTCGTTTGTAGGTCACCTAAAGGACAGATAAACTTCATTAGACTTAACAGAGCAGGAAGGAATGTGCAAGCCATAAAATAATGACCTCAAGGACATTCTTGATTTTTCACAAACTATAAACATTTAATACTGACATTTTCTAAATTAGAAAAACATCAGCAAATTCACATAAAAATATATTCTATTTCTACAAATGGTTGATTTGTGTTTTTAAATCTCTGAATAAACTGAGATATTATATGGCAGTGGTTACTGAAATCTTAATGTAACTCAAGTATTATATGCAAAGAAAATGTGGTAGTGCTTAAACAACAGTGTTAACATGACTGCATAATAATGAGGTTTTATACTAGAAAAAAAAAAGGTAGGGTGGAAGTCTCTGTATAACAAAAAAGCTGCTGAGTTGCTTGCTTAGCTGAAATAATTCTGAAAGATCAATATATGTTAAGAGGGACTTACTTCTGAATTGAATGTATCCATACATACCTAGGTAAGATTTACCTTCTAAGATTTTTATTAAAATGTGGCTAAAATAGAGCATATAGCATATCCCTATGTGCCTAACAACAGCGATAATCTTTCCTTAAAAACATGCAGCCTCTTAATAACTATAATCTGTTCCTTGTAATGTAACCTGCCACCATAGTATGTGTCTGTTCTATGGCAGATACTTCAAAGACTCCCACCCACTGAGCTCAGGTACAGAACATGTAAGTGCACTGTGGTGCATAATTAATTCCGTATCACAGAACTGAAATACATAGTAAATGACGACTCAGTATTAATAAGCTTTTATAAGTTCTTAGAAGCTACTTTTTTTTTGGATAGCAATTTTTTTTTATTGCATTTTAGGTTACAGGGTACATGTGAAAAAACATGCAAGATTGTTGCATAGGTACACACATGGCAGTGTGATTTGCTACCTCCTCCCCATCACCTATATCTGACATTTCTCCCCATGCTATCTCTCCCCAACTCCCCAACCCCTACTGTCCCTCCCCTATTCCGCCCCCCCCCCGACAGACCCCAGTGTGTGATTCTCCCCTCCCTGTGTCCATGTGTTCTCATTATTCAACACCTGCCTATGAGTGAGTACATGCAGTTTGATTTTTCGTTCTTGTGTCAGTTTGCTGAGAATTATGGTTTGCAGGTTCATCCATGTCCCTGCAAAGGACACGAACTCATCGTTTTTGATGGCTGCATAGTATTCCATGGTGTATATGTGCCACATTTTCCCTGTCCAGTCTATCATCAATGGGCATTTGGGTTGGTTCCAAGTCTTTGTTATTGTAAACAATGCTGCAATGAACATTTGTGTGCATGTGTCCTTCTGGTGCTACTTTTAAGTACCAAGATATTTATGATGCAAGTGTTCTAAAAACTCATTTTGAGAAATTCCCACATTATTACCTGACTGTTCTTATGAAATTGGACTTTTTATCCTCCAGATTAGCTAACTACAAGATTTGTACAGGAACTTTGTTTAGTGAAGTGGGCTACTGCACTTCTATCCAAAATAGATTCCTCTGCTATGCCTTTATCCTGGCAGGTAAATCCTGGACCTCAACTGTATCTCACTATCCAGAAATAAAGTAGCAACTAACTTGATAACACAGATAAAAAGTTGTTCAAGCAATTCAACCAATCTATTAAAATGTGAAATACTATCGTGTCTCTAAAACAAGTACATGTCAACCAAAACTAGTGACTCCTAGTTAGTGATCTATAATGTAATTCTCCTACCTGGCGGAAGAAAAATGATAGAAAACAGACAGTTCAAGGTCCATGCTTTGCATTTTACCAAATCAAATTACGTACTGTCTAATTTATTCAACAAATAATTCATCAAAACATTACTGTGTTCTGGGCTCTGTTTTAAGTGCTGGGAATGGGGAGAGAGAGAGAGAGAGAGAGAGAGAACTTCAACAAAAATCCTTAACGTGGAGATTCATTTTAGTTAAGAAATTTTTTTGTAAAGTTGAATGGAGTTAGTGTTTCTCTCTTTTAATGAATATGTAAAGTTAACTATGTATCTGAAATTAGGCCTTAATATTTGCAATGTGAGAATTTTTCTTCTCCAGTAATAGTTTGTTACATAGGATAAATTCACAACAGAAATTATATGCCTAGTTGATTTTCTATTCCCTCCTGCTTTGAAGGGTAAAACTGCATTCTACATTAAAATAGAATAGGAATGTACCTTACATTTTCAAACAGTTTTTAATGATAGATTTCTGGATTTATAGAAAAGTTCTCAGATTTTAACGTGACTTTTCTAGAATACATTCAAGATTTAATTTTTGCAGTGGAGTCAGTCTTCAGTATAAAATACATTTTTTACTATGCAGAGATTTTTTTCTATTTTAATGTTAATTAACTGGCATAAACAAGAAAGACTCCTGAATTTTTTTCTGTCAGCCTTTTCCTATAGGCTACGGATATCTACCATACACTAAGGTTTTTTTTTTTTTTTTACTTTTATTAACATATTTTACAAGGAGCTTTGTTGAATACCTCAATTGTATCTCAACAAATACTGATTGAACATAAGTAAATGACAGAAAATGTGTCTTATAAACATTTAAAGTCCCATTAGCCTTATTTTTTTCCTACATAGCTAACATGCTTCAAAAGCAGTGTGACTGGAAAATGTTGTAATTCTCAATTGACGGGGTATCCATTTTTTCCATCTAAATTTTACAGCAATATAGGTTGTCCTTATTTTAATTTTAAAAACCCAACACCCTGACAATGAGTATTCATTTTGTTCTATTAGCATAAGTAGTCTTCCTTTGACCTTCCACAATACCCTATTATGAAAAATTACTTTAAAAAAAATCAATCCTGTAGTGATGAGAAAGAAAGTCAATCCTCTAATTTGCTGCTTTTCAGACTGTGCTCACCAGAGCCTCAGGGACCACCTGAAGAAGAGGAAAGGTGTTCTGTGCAGCTGAAATTCCAACCCAACACCTGGCACTCACCTAGTTCAGCTCAATTTTTCTCTATTTTGTTCGACTGAGCTTCTGTGTGCTCTTTCAGCTGAGTAACATGTTTAGCTTTAAAAAGAAGTTCCATAGAAAAAGAATCCTGAACTCAGACCTATACATATAATTGTTTTCTCATTCCTAGACCAGGGTTCTTAGCTACTTCAAGGTACACTCTGGCTGAAGCTATCACATCCACATGTTGTTTCTCTGTGTTGAAACATAAAATAGCAAAACAAAACAAAACAAAAACAAAAAAACCCCACAACTATAAGAACGCAGCCTGTTGGTCAGTATCTTCAATAACTTCAGACAGACAAGACATAATGTTCTCCCATCTTTCCCTTCACAATAAAGTGGCAACTTGAATGTTTAGCAAAACTTGCATTTTAAAGACAGCAGGAAGTTTATTAAGTATAGATTTTTCAGAACTTATTTCCTTATTGTATACATACAGAAAATATTCTTTTCTGGATACCTATGTAAAAATACTGGATAACGATATAAAAATGTCTAAAGACAAACAATGTTACCACATTGTGTTTTTGAAGTTACAAAAACCAAATAGAGACTATTTTGTTTCTTTTGTTCTTAAACAGATGCTAAAATACTTGGACCTAAAAAAATATATTCCCCCAACAAAAAGAATCCTCAAAAGTCATTCATTCCAGTAACACCGTGATTATACAAAAACTTCAGAAACTCCTAAAAAAGCACTTTCAGACAATGGAACACAGTGGTTAAATATCTTCCATAACTTGTCGTTAATCTTTCATGGCTTGAAGACAGTTTTGACATTGAGAAACAAGAAGTCCATTCAATTAGTTCTGTACAGTGTAGTAAGAGACCAAGCTAATTAAAAATACATGGGGCCAAAAATAACTAAGTTAAAGGGAATCAAGTTGTTGTGCAGACTAGATGAAATCTCACAAAAATGGTAGTGTTTACTTGGGCCTGTCAAAGCAAGACTACTCCAGGGAAGCATGACAGCTGATTCCTATTCCTAGAGCCAGGCCTGTGTTCTTCAGTGCTCACCATCCTTGAAGGGGAGAGTGCGATACTGCAGTCATTTTCTACACTGCATGGTGATTTCAAAGGAGAAAAAAAAAAAAAAAAAAAAAACTAATATCTCCAGACCCCAGAAGAGATAGCACAGGAAGGTGACATCAACCCAGAATGTTTATTTTTTACTTTTACCAAAATGTATTTATAAAATACGAAATAAAGACCAGCCTGGTCAACATGGCAAGCGTCCGTCTCTACTAAAAAAACAAAAATTAGCCAGGCATAGTGGTGTGTGCCTGTAGTCCTAGCTATTTGGGAGGCTGAGGCAGGAGAATCACTTGAACCCAGAAGGCAGAGGTTGCAGCGAGCCAAGATGATGCCACTGCCCTGCAGCCTTGGCGACAGAGCAATAATCCATCCCAAACAAACAAACAAAAAGAATTAATTAAATCAAATAAAATACAAAATAATCCTTCTGGAATTTCTGGGGGCAACTGAAATTCTACTGCTACTGAAATTCTAGTAAGACATGCAATCCTCAGAAATTTCAAGTCACTCTTTCACCCAGTGTGAAGTGAAATCCATAACTTTTGAGAAGAAAGGGAAGGTGTATTGCTCCATGTTTCAGAATCCTCCTTTGCTTTACACTGTACAATGGTTATAAAATGCCTCAATTATGTCCAAGTGTGTCTTCTACTGTCATATTTTTGAGTCATGTTCCAAGAACATGGCCATGCCATCTGAATCCAGTACCAGTTCAGCATAATTGTACTAGAATTTTTCAGATCCAATTTTTTTTTTTTAAAAAAGCAGCTTCTTTGGAATTAGTGCAGACTTAGTACACTAATTTCAAAGTGTAAACTCCATTGCTGTGTAAAACAAATACCGCTACCATACAAAATAGATCACAAAATTAAAGTAAAAGCCTAAAGACAAATCATACAATGTAATCAAAAGGGGTTAAATAATTAGTTATGAAAATATTTAGCTATTTCATAGCTAAATGGTTAACTATGAAAATAATTAGCTATGAAAAAGACAAGTCAAAGATGAGACAAGAGGCAGAGAAAAAAGGGAAGCTGAAAACAACTGCAGTATTTGCATTCTGGTATCACGTTAACAGGAAAAAAAATGTGATACTAACAAACAAAAAACCCTCATAATGTCAATCTGTAAGACATTTTCCCCAATCCAAAGCATGATGGGCCTTTTAGAGTCCAAGCTGGAGAGAAAAGAGAAATATGAACACCTCACCCAAAAGAAAACACTGAAGATGGAATGAAACATTCAGAGAGTAATGTGCTGCTTCCCTTTCATCCACAGATCTCAAGAGTGGTTTACAAACTTGAGGAAGGCTCAGAACACTCACAAAAGATAAATAATCACAGCCCCAAAGATGTCAGAAGTGAGACCAGGGAGTACATATTAGTTTGACATATTAGTAGCAATAAAACGCCTTAGAGTTTCCACGTCTTTTCTTGGTCTTCAAATTAGGTCTGTGAGACAGCCAAAGGGGTTCCAAAAAAATGTGGGTCAGAATCTTTAATGAAACATCTAATTGGAAATTGCCAAAAATGATAATATTCATATCACTATTGATATATATCTGTATCTATATCTATATCTATATATATGATGAGTAAAAATGATAAATAAAATGTTTGCCATATATAGAAAAGGATGACTAAAATGTTTGCCTGCTAGGTTGATGACAGTTAACCCAGCAGGAAGGCATTTTAGGTTGTCCTTAAGTGAACAGTAATACTACATAAATTTTCTCTACCAGGCAATAATCCAAACATGTCAATATTTTGGAGTCTTAGAATTCAACATTTTAAGTATTTAAGATTATTCTGAGATAATCGTAGCAGGCAGTGAGGCAGATCATGTTACTGTGCAAAATAACTCATCAACTTATAGGGGTTTCTGTTTTAAAAATGAGTAAGAAAATATGCTTATAGACTCAGAATGAATCTTTACTAATCAGATTGATGGATGTTTTGTAAAGATTTCCAAAGACTACAATCATTATCTCAAAAGCAGCAATATTTATTTCAAGATTATGAAATGGCCCTTACAATTCTTATTTCCAAATATACTATTCAATTCAACTAATGAAACAAGGAATCACACTCTAAACCATCCCTGGCCTAGCTAAGAAGATGCAGTATGATAGTGCCATTATCTTCTTGGCAATAAGTTATCTATTCCCTCCAAATGAAGTACATTAGGCTAGGTGCAGTAGCTCACACTGGAATCCTCAGGACTTTGAGAGGCAGAGGCGGGCGAATCGCCTGAGGTCAGCAGTATGAGACCAGACTGGCCAACATGGTGAAACTGAGTCTCCACTAAGCATACAAAAATTAGCCAGGTATGGTGGCTGGCATCTGTAATCCCAGCTACTTGAGAGGCTGACACAGTAGAATAGCTTGAAACCAGGAGGCAGAGGATACAGTGAGCCGAGACTGCACCACTGCATTCCAGCCTGGGCAAGTAGAGTGAAACTCCCTTTAAAAAAAAAAAAAAAGTTAGCCATTATAAGACCTGGGCCCTGCCACAGGAAACAGTGTAATTCCTCACAGTGGGGCAGAGAGTGGATCCAGCCACTACCCACACTGGGTCAGAACTGTGGCAGATGCCTTTTCAACCCAATTAACTTGGAGCAACCACCCAGGGCCTGGAAGGAAATGTTGATACTTGCAATTGGTGGGCCAAGTTATAGCTTTAATCCAACTGAGTGAAGGACGGGGGAGAAAAGGCTACTGATATGGTTTGGATTTCTGTCCCCACCCAAATCTCATGTGGAATAGTAATCTCTAATAATGGAGGTGGGACCTGGTGGAAGCTGACTGGATCACGGGGACAGATTTCTGCCTTGGTGCTATTCTTGTGATAGTGAGTGAGTTCTCAGAGATCTGGTCATTTAAAAGTGTGTGGGTACCCACCCCTAAGCCTCTGTCCACCTACTCTGGCCACTTGAAATGTCTCACTCCCCCTTTGCCTTCTGCCATGATTGGAAGCCTCCTGAGGCCTCCCAAGAAGCAGAAGCTGCTATGCTGCCTGTATAGCCTGCAGAACTATGAGCTCTTTTCTTTATAAATTACCCAATATCAGTTATTTCTTTATATCAGTATGAGAACAGACTAATACAGCTATCAACAGAGAGCAAGATAAAGAAAAAAGTGAATAAACCAACCTCATGGGTTAAAATGAGATGTGTCTGAGTAAATTATCTCAAAGTGAATTTTCTTGAAGCCAAGCAATAGAAAGGATAATATACTTTGATGTTTCAGTAAATCCGTAAGACTCCCGCAACTCCCACTAAACGCACTACCGGTTTTAAATGTATACCCACACAAAAACATAAAAGCACAGCAAAGAACCCAAGCAAAGTGTCACTCCTCTTACCTTCCAGAGGTCAGGTGATCCTTCTACAAGTTTGGCTTTAGTGCAACAGTATTTTAGGGCCAACTGCAAACACTCAGTTCCAAATTCCAAGTCATAGTCACTACACTGGCGTAGAAAAAAAAAAAATTCAGCTAAAACAATTTTAAGTAAAACTCAGCCTTTTATTTCATAATCAACTGCAATCAAAGGAAGAGCCTAGAAAGCTCAAGCTATTTAATCAGCTACTGAATGAGTTATAACATCCCCAATAGCTAAAAGTAAAACAAATTGTGAGTAGGAATACTGCAATCATCATTTGAGCTTCCAGATTCCTCTATAGTTTTAGGTATAAAATAGATAGAATACTTTGTTTCCTCTGCATATAAGTCACATTTCCAAGCATGTTTATAAAGTATCTGAAGTTATAGCTGAGGATTATCATAACTGTTGATAAATATATATCTACAACATCTCAATCTCATATCTCATATTTATATCAGAACATTTGTAGGTCCTAGTTCTGTTGTTTTAATATTTAAAATATCAAAATATCCTTTTTAATTATTTACATTTTGCTTATATGTATGGAACATTTAGTATTTCATTGTGAAACAAAGTGTAAAGGTACTACAAAAATTCAGTAAAAATAAAATATTTTTTGGCATTTTAAGCAGAGCCATTAAAATATCCAAGTAATAATACAATTCAGCTGAACAATACTCAGGGTGCCTAGCCTGTCTCCAAGTTCTATTTTAAGCACCAGATATATAAAGATAAATCACACATGTATTGTGCCCTCAAGGAACTAAGATCTAGAAGATAGATGCAGTACTAGAAGAATATCTACAGGTAACTCAGCAGATAAAATCAGGAAGGCCTATCAGAGGAAATGGCTTGATCTCCATCTAACAGCAGAATAAAACTGGACAAGGGGATTACATTTAAATCAAAAGGTGCCATGCAAAGTTACAGAGGTTTGAGTCATTTGGCACACTTACATTGCTTTTCTTTTTTGAGACAGAATCTTGCTCTGTCACCCAGACTGGAGTATGGTGGCACCATCTCAGCTCACTGCAATCTCCACCTCCAGAGTTCAAGTGATACTCCTGCCTTAGCCTTCCTAGTAGCTGGGATTACAGGGGCCCACCACCACACCCAGCTCAGTTTCTGTATTTTAGTTGAGATGGGGTTTCACCATGTTGTCCAGGCAGGTTTTGAAGTCCTGAGCTCAGGTGATCTGTCCCCCTCAGCCTCCCAAAGTCCTGGGACTACAGGTGTGAGCCACTACACCCAGCAGAGACTTATTTTAGATAGGATATCAATGTAAGGATTGCAAGAAGGCAACAAATATGAGTATGACATCAAGCACCCCTTGCCAGAGCTATTTTATTATACTGAAGGTTACAAAATTCTAACCAGTGATTTGTAAAATCAATGAACAAAATATGACCAGATATACACAGAATCTTAATTTGACCAGAAGAGTCCCAGTTTGATTCTTCTATTTTTATATACTACATAAAATAACATATCTAGGTATTTTTAAAAGACTATTATGAACACTAGTTACATTCAAGTAAGTTGAGATGAGTTTGGTAAACCATTGTTTAGCAGTTTGTGATTGAGATGTATGTACGATAAACAAAGTTCTGTTTAACACATGGTTAAATCTTTAAAATGACTAGCAATAACCTTAACTCTTTCTGACTCACTCCAGAGGGGCAAAATATCAAACATATCCCTGGATTGCCTTAAAAGTACTCACAATGTGCCATACTGAAAGGAGTACACAGAAACAGGCACTTCCTTCCAATCTCAGATAGTGGTGTGAAACATACTTGATGCTCTGTTCCCAGCTACAGTGCCACCAATTGCAAAACGAGTTCATAAACACTTGCAGGCTCCTCTCTTGTGACCTCCTATTGGGTGCCCATAAACTAATATTATTTGAAGGAGGTTACTTGAAGGAGATTATTTAAAGGAAATCAATAGTGGTGATAAAATGAAATCATTTAACATGGTAAATTAATCCAAAGGCCAAGAGAAAAGTGAGAAAAAGAACCAAGGAAAGGTGGTACAAACACAAAGCAACTAGCAAGATGATTTTGGTCAAGAAAGTTAACGAATGACAGAGGGTATTGCACAAAATGTTTTGACATTTGTGATTCACCATGAGAGGATTATAGTTATAATTATATCAATGATCACATGAGAAACATATATGCAAACATATAGACGCTGAAAACCAGCTGCCTCCCCAAATTTGGACACCCAAAATAGTGTCAAATAGCCTTCTGCCCAGGCAAAAGCCCTAAGGACACTTATCAGAGATTCCCCCAAAAAGCCAGGTCAAACCCAGTCATTTTATAGAGAAGCGCATCAACACACCCCACATAGAAAACTCACCAAGTATAACCAGACCCTAGTTAAACATGAGCAGAAAACCCACATTTAACTGTCACTCAAGAAAAGATTGTAACATGAAAGATCAAAATGGCAAAATAATAATAATAATAATAATAAAGCACTTGAGGAGACTGAAACTGTAGTTTTTAAAAAACTATGGATCTGAGAAGATAAAGAATTTGAAATAAGTGACAAGGTAATATTTAAAAAAGTAGAAAATGAAAGAGCTGTATAACTCATCAGCAAAGTCAAATATCCAAATAAAAAGATTGAAATTTCAGGAAAAACAGGAAAAGAGGAAAACTAAGTAATTCAAGATATTCCAAATATGGAAAACACTAAATTTCCACATTAAGAGAGTATAGAAGCTAATGGGTGAAAATACGCCAAGCCCATTTAAAAAAAATTCTCTAACAAGCTGTAATCCAAGCTTAGACTTCATAGAAACAATAAAACTTAGAAGAAGCAAATTATTCACAATTCTTAGGTTAATGATTTTAAACAAAGAATTCTACTCCCAGGACAGCTATCAAATTTGAGGGCAGAATATGAACTTTTCCTTACATCCAAAGTCTCAAAGAAATTTTATTACCCATGCATTGTTTTCTTTCCTACATATTTTTTAAGACTTTAAGTATTAGGTTAACAGCAAAATGGAGCAAAAGGAAAAGATTGCCATATACCTTCGAGCCCCCACATACACACGACCTCTCCTACTATTGAAACCTTGTGAACACAGTGGTATGTGTATGCACATCAATAAACCTACGCTGACACATCTTTATCATTCAAAGGCCAGAGTTTACATTATGATCCATGCATAGTATTATACATTCTGAGTTTTCAAAAGTGTACGGTGATACACATTCATCTCTGTAGTTATCATACAGAATAGTTTCACTACAGTGAAATTTCTGTGTACCACCTATACATATCTCCTGCCCCTCAACCCCTTGCAACCAATCATCCTTTCAATGCCTCCATAGTTTGTCTTTTCCAGAATCTCATAGCTGTAATACAATGACATACATCTATCACTGTAATTACCGTATAGTTTCACTACACAGAAATTTCTGTGTACCACCTATACATGCCTCCTGCCCCAAAACTCTTTGCTACCCCTCATCCTTTTAATGCCTCCATAATTTGTCTTTTCCAAAAATACATAGCTGTAATCATGGAATATTTGGCCTTTTTACATTGGATTCTGGCACACCAAAACATACATTTAAGTTCCTTCCAAACCTTTTGGTGACTTTATAGCTAATTTCCTTTAAGGAGCAAATAGTATTTCATCATCTCGATGTACCACAGTTTATCCCCTACCTAAGCTATCTATGTTGGTTCCAGTTTTGGCAATTATGACCACAGCTGCTATAAACATTCGTGTTCAGTTTTTTTGTTTTCCGTTTTGTTTTGTTTTGTTTTGGACAGAGTCTCACTCTGTAGCCTAGGCTGCAGTACAGTGGCACGATCTCAGCTCACTGCAACCTCCACCTCCCGGGTCTCAGTTCAATCAATTCAGCAATTCTCCTGCTTCAGCCTCATGAGTAGCTGGGATTACACGCACGTGCTAATTTTTGTATTTTTATTAGAGATAGGGTTTGACCATGTTGACCAGGCTGGTCTTTAACTGTCGACCTCATGATCCACCTACTTCGGCCTTCCAAAGTGATGGGATTACAGGTGTGAGCCACTGTGCCCAGCCCATATGCAGGTTTTTAATGTGGACATAACCCATTTGGGTCTTATGATAGGAGTATGTTGTGTAAGATGCTGCCAAACTGTCTTATAAAATGACTGTCACTTTGCATTTGCATTTTATGTTTTATATTTAGGTCTGATCTATTTTGAGTTAATGGTTTTGACAGGTTGAAAGTGTATGCCTTTCATTTTTGGTATGTGGTTGTCTAGTTGTTCCAACAACATTTGGTTGAAAAGACAGCAAATCTTGGCTACATTGTATTGCATTTGCTTTTCTGCCACAGACCAATTGATTATATCTGTGTGTTTCTATTTCTGGGGTATTTCATTCAATTGATCAATTTATCTATTCTTTAAGCCAGTACCACACAGTCACAATTCCTGTAGTTTTACAGTAACTCTAACAGTCAAGTAGTATCAGTCCTCCAACTTTATTCTTTGCTTTCAATATTGTGTTAGCTATTCTAGGTCACCTGCCTCTTTTTGTTTGTCAATACTAAAAAATAAGTTGCTCAGATTTTGATTGGGATTGCATCAGATTTGTAGATCATGTCGAGGAGAATTTACATCTTGACAACTTTGAATCTTCCTATCCACAAACACGGGACAGCTCTCCATTTATATAGTTCTTTGAAGTCTCTCAGAGTTTTGCAGTTTTCCTCATATAGTTTTGTACATTTTGTTTGACTTATGCCCAAGTATCATTTTGGGGGCTGCTAACGTAAACAGTAATATATTTCTATTTTCAAATTACACGTTTATGATGGTACAAAGGAAAGCAATGGACTTTTGTTTATTGGCTTAGTATCCTGCAGCTGTCCACTACTGTCCACTAATTCTATAACTTCTGTCAATGCTTTCAGATTTCCCACAGAGACAATCCTATCAGCTCTGAAAAATGTTTTCTTCCTTCCCAATTACAGTATTTAGTTCATTTCCTTCTCTTATTAGCTAGAAATTCCAGGACAATGTTGAAAAAGAACATTGAGAAGGCACATCCTTGCCTTGTTCTTGGA